GATAGCAACAAGTTATAATGTTTTACTGTCAGAGCTAAAATTTTGAAATTAGTTTAGTCTAACAAAGTCAATTGTTTGCTTAGAATTTTAAACTCTTTGGGTACTAAAGGTACCAAATTATGCATTTTTGTCATAAGGCTTAGTATTAGGGAAGACATTTATTGAAATTGACATTTAGGTATAGCCTCCACATTTTAGAGATTCTGAGGATGGCCATAAATTTAATCTTTAACATATTTTTTTCTGTTTTGGTTATAAATGACGACCAAATAGTATTTAGTTTAAATGTGAATATTGGGCATGTGTGATCGTAGCTGTTATGATATACTTCCCAAAGAATGAAGTTCTCTTGAACCCGTTCTTAGATGCCATCAAGAATATTATATTAAGATTTCCAGGTACCTTTAAGAACTTTTAATACCTCAATAATATGAAGGGTACATTAAGTTTGTCATTCCGTTTGTAACACCTCGAAATATTCATTTTACACCCTCAAAGTATATATATTCTTGATCAGCATAAAAGTCTATGACGGAAAATTGTTCAACATAGGTCCAAGTCTTCGTATAACCCATATTTAAGGGCGCCTCTCTCTATATAGTGGATACTACAGCCTAAGACAGAAAATTGTATGTGCAGGTCCACGTCTTCGTATATCCCCCATATAACGGTACCTCCCGATATTCGGTATTTTGATGATTTTAGCGACATTATTCACCGGTATTGTTTCAAATTTGGTGTTTGAAGTTCGTAATGGATACTACAGCCTATGACAGAAAATTGTCTGTGCAGGTCCATTTCTTAGTGTAGCGGTACCTCCCTATATTCGGCATTTTGATGATTTGTAGCTATTATTCGCCGAATTTTTTATTCAAGTTTCGCATTTGAATATTGTAATGGTTTATAACAAAGGTTGCCTATGCAGGTCCACGTCGTCATATAGACCCAATACATTCGGCATTTTTAAGATTTAAAAAAAAAAATTAATGGATTTTATTTTTTTGAAAATTGTAAAAATCGTTCTAATGGTGGAGGGTATTCAAAGATCGGCCCGGCCGAACTTAGAGTTTTTTACTTGTTTCGCTTAGTAAACATTTATTTATATATTATAAAAAAATACCTCTGAATAAGTATTTCTGACATATCGAAGACTCTTCGTGATGAACTCTTAAGAAAAAACCTCTGTTGTAGAAAAGACACCTAAAAGGTATATCGTCATGTTTTTTACAATAAAAATTTCGTTAATTCAAACCCTTAAATATTGTCGCATCAAATTTTATCCAATTTGTGCCAACAGAGGAAAAAAGTGGATTATGCTATGTTTTAAGGGCACATTACATTATTTATTTTTTTAATTTTAATAACTAATTAATATAAAAATATATTTTTTAATAAAAACAAATAATTACTTTGCAGATTCACAAATCACATGCTATACATCAAATACCCTTCTGCGGTGGGCAATAGAAAATATCTTTCCCATATGGTGCGTATTGATGTTATTATTTCTAATACGCACCACATTACGTCTCTATTATTTGAATTATTAAATTAAGTGCTAAAACTCACGTTAATTTCAATCATGTTTTTTTACCCATTCCATGCAAACTAGTGCCAGTCGTGTTACATACCAACAATGAATTGTATAACACTTCGTTGCATGTTTTGAATGTTATTAAAATACTCACTCTCCATCTCATTTAACTGTGCGCAATATTCTGTTATCATTTGTTCTCATGCACTCATACACTCCCAACGGGCTTTGTGGTTGTTTGAGATCACAACACAGCATAAATACGATTCAAAAAATGCAAAGGTAAGCAAAATAATCAAAATAATATTAAATTACTCGGAACGTATGAATAAATGTTTTCTTGCCCTTGTTATGATTTATAAATCCTCAGCACTTAATTATTCAAACAAATGTTAAAGGCGGTATAAATGTTATGATGGATAAGTGAGAGCTATGGATAAAAAGAAGTGTATTATAGTTTAAAGATACAAAATTTGTAATCCTGCTGCACTAAAAAAACAAACGCGAATGCTTAGCCCGATATAAGATTTATATTGAAATTATCGAAAAAGTTATGTTTAATCACTCTGCTATAAAATATGAGGGAAATCCAAAACACGAACGAGGCATACATTTATTTTTGCCTGAAATCGGTACTGAGTTCAAAAGAAGAGATGTCAGAGGAACTTGACCGATGTCGACACTTTTTATCTGGTCTTCGAAGTTAAACCGATATATCTAATATTCTCACATGGGACATGTCAAATTGGGGGCTATAGTCCATTTTATTATTTGACATATATTTGATACAAATTTGACAATGTACGTAATTCTAACTAAAATTTGGAACTGGAATAAATCTGTCCATCCTTCCTGATACATCCTCGACAAGAGTTTATAATTTAAAATGTTTATAAGTGCTGTTGTAAGATTTAGTAGATTTTCCAAAATAATTTTAGTTTTATTTAAATCTTTGGTTCCTCTTCTATTGAGCTTACGATCTCGTCACTTGGGTAAATAATGTTTTTTGTCATAGAAGTTATTTTTAAATAACTTCTGGGGAGAATATTCCAGACAAAAAACAAGGAAATTGATGAGGATTGGTGGCTCTTTCCGAAACCTAGGTATTCCCTGCCTTACCCCCTGGTAAACATTACCATCGTTCTCCACTAATAAACAAACGTTGTTTTTATAAAAACAACAATAAAGGGATTAAACCTGAGCATTTTGCAACAACAAAATACTATGGTATCCGAAACAAACAAGCCAACACTGGTCCAAAAAAAAAAAAAAAAATAAATAAATTCAAATAAAAAAAAAATAAAAAAATAAATCCAAAATGAATGGAGTACCCATGGTACAATGAAGAGAAGGTAGGCCAACTTTGAAAAAATTGCAAGTATAGAGGTCTACCTGTTTGGCTTGTAATGTCAGAATTAGTATCAAAACAATAAAAAATCAAACAACTTGTTGCATTTATTTTGAATAAATAATTGAAAACCGCGATAACTGAATGAAAGGTCAACACTTCTTTTCAAAATATATATCTCTAAAGGATTATTTCGCTACAAAAACTCTAGATTTTGTGGATGCATACGTTGAAATAAACATTTTGAAAACACCCGAATTTGAATATTTTCTGAACATTTTTTTTGTTATTGAAAAGAAAACACATACATAAACAAATAAAGATGACATATTAAGCCAAGAAAATAAAAAAATTAAAATCATATGGTATCATAGCCCTACCTTGATATCATTGTACCATGGGAGTACCCTTTGCAGGGTGAGAAAAAAACTGCTACAAAGTCAAACGCCATAATTTTTACATTTTTTTTTTAAATTTTATTGAATGAAAGCTAAAAATATCGGGTAAGGCATTAACTTTTAGAATATGTTTAGATTTGTTCGAATTGGTCACCTTTTGTCACCTTTTAAACGACCAATGAAACCGTCATACGCTGCCCGAATGTTGCTCTGCGGTATTTTGGCCCATTCCCGGCGAAGCGCTTGCTTGAGGTGATCGACATTTCGGTATTTTTTAGTGCCAACCTTGCTCTCCTTGACGTCGGGCTACGCTATAACGGTAACGAGCGATGGTGCGAGACACAAAAGATTTATTCACATTTTAATGCCGGGGTGCTCTAACGATAGCCACTTGTGGTTTTCCAGCCTTTGTACGCTTGTAAAGAATATAATGAGCTGTAAGTGGAATAATTTTAACAGCTGTCGGACTAGTGGCTTAGAAATGACAGCAGTCTGAAGTTGGTTGCAGTTTTTTTCATCTCACCCTGTATACTTCTTGGGTTCTCTAACGAATATTTCGAGGGGTTGCAAACGGAATGACAAGTTTAATATACCCTCCATTGTAAGTTGGAGGGTATAAAAAAGGCCACTTCGACAGTAATCTTTACCTTTCTTTATGTTCTTATCAAACCTCTTAATTACTTCCCTGTGTTAAAACCTTGTTCGTCGCTTGTATTATGCTGCAGAAAATAATGATATCAAATAATTCTTTTGTAAACTAAAATTGATTAAAAATTCCAGTAAAACAAAATGATAAGTTTTAAAGTGTTTTAAAACATTATTTCATTTTAAATCATTTTTCAATTCTGTCTGAGTTATCTACCGAAATTACATCCATCTGAATTCTGGTGATAATTCTGAATGGGAGCTGACTAAACGTCTACTATTATGCTCTTCAATTGATTGCAAAGAAATGTATCAGCACACAAAATATTTGATATTTGGTCCCCATTCAGTAGCTGTGGAAGTAGTCAGTAGTTTAGTTGAAAATTTAATGGGAAACAGAATTGTTGTAAGTTTCCTACGGTCGGAGATAAATTCAATTTACGATTTGACGTACAATTTCGAAAGCAACAACAATAATAACAGACAACAGAATCACTAATCGGCCGCAGCATCAAACGAATAGACAACATAATGAGTATTTGGCGAAATGTTTGTTGCTGATAAAAACAAGTGTACAGGTGTCTGTGTGAGGGGGGGACGATTGTGGCAGTTATGGGCTTACATGTCTCTTTATGTGTGTACGTGTGTGTTCGGTTATTTAATTTCATTCATTCATACCTTTTGTTTCATTCATTGTTTCCAATTGTTTTGTTGATATTTTTGCCATTTCAGTGTATGCTGTTATTTCCTACTGTTAATCTCACATGTGGGTGGGTGGGAGAGGGAGAGAGCATGTGAGAGTAATGTTAATGTGTGAACATGAATTTTGCCGGGTTTTTATTTAACAGCAATGATGATTACTGTTATTCTTTATTGTGGGTGCTTATTTCATTATATCAAAGGGAGAGAGAGAGAGAGTTGTAGAAGTCATGAGAGAAATTATATTTTTGCAATTACCGGAGTATGGGTGTATTTTGTTTTGATTTGCCAATTGTTTGTTGTTCTATGTTCTGTAAATCGGCCCGCTCGAGCGCTTTTAATATTCTGTTATACGTACGGTGGGTATAGCGACGCATTGCAAATCGTATCACATTCATCAACAGTGGACGATGTTATGCCGTTGTAGTCGTTGTCGTTCTTGTTGTTGTTGTTGCTCTTGCTGCTGTTGCTATTGTTTTTGCTTTCACATATTGACGCCTCGAGACCATAAAACTCGGTACGGTGATATTTTTTCGTATTTAAAATGAAAAGTTTTCAACAGTAATCGTTCAGATTTTGAACGAAACGGTATCAAAAGAAAGAAAATTCCCCAAAAAAAAAAAAAAAAAAAAAAATAGCGAAACAAAAAGAAAAGCAATTTCCCGCAAAAGAATTACCACCTGTCAGCTGCTCAATATTATTAGAAAGGCAAAAAAAAAAGAAAATTAAATTAAATGAATTAAAAATAAATAACGGTTAACAATTTAAAGGCTATTTAAATTGATGAAAATTTCTGTTATTAACCGGCATTTTTTACAAAGTGTGATAGTTTAAAAATCCGTATTTAAAGTTCCTGTACCGCACTGAATTTTGGCATCGCGTGTTTTGCTGCCATTGATTGCAAATTAAACAAACATTACAATTAACTAAATTGTTTCGAACAAAAAGCAAAAGTGTTGATTTTTATTTAACAAAAAATAAAAAAGACCAACCGTTTTACTTTTCACAAGGATAATTGCCAAGCAATTGATTATTGAAAACAACATGTTGCCATATATGTTTTTAATTACCGGTAAGTAGAAAGTTATTAACTATTTTATGAAAATGCTACAAAAGGGAGAAATGTTAAATAATAAATTATGATGATAGGAACTGGATAAATATGTTAAAAACACATTAAAAAATGAGTTTGGTTTAAAACACCAACATCTAAACAAAAGGAAGCGATTTGAGAAGATAACTATTAGATTAAGCAATGGTTTATTGCAAATTAAAAATTTGGACCTGAAAGCTCTTTTGACAAAATTCTGAATTGCAATTCATGATTTCTACCACCATTAGAAAGAACCTCAAATCTGGATATATATTTTAATATATCAAATATCAATATCAAATTCAATACTTCCACAGCGTAACAAATGGGACATTTCTATACATTGAAATAATTTTTGAGAAGAGATTTCTATTAAGAATATGGTCTTCGTTTAGCATCTCAAATTGCATTGCGTTGCATGATGAGCCCCTTAAACAGCGGCGAAATGTTTCGCATACTGGTTGGATGCGTGGGATCTTGCTAGATTTTCAATAACACCTCCTTAGGTCATTAACAGCTCAAGTAGAAGGGGAAGTGATCGACAATTTTGAAAACAGTTTCCTTAAAATTCCTACAATTTTGGACCACATGTCCAAAACTATTTAAAAATATAGAATTTTGACCTATTTAGTTTAAAATGTGATTAGAACACTTAAAATATCCAAATTTAGAGGTCTATCGTTTTATCCAAAATCTCGTAATTCATCGAAAAAATTTTGTGAGGATGGTTTTTTATTCATCTCAAAATATCAACTGCCGCTATGGTTGAAAAATGGGTTCGAGACCTTAAAATAGTGCTTTTATATCAATTTTTAAAAAAACTTATACCTGTATTGAAAATGTTTGATGGGTGACTCTATTTGCCTGAAAATTGTGGTTCAAATCTTCGAAATCTAAAAAATTAAAATATTCGGCAGGGAACCTAAAACACCAAACTAAGTTGGTGGTAATAAGATCTTGATAAAATCGGAGTGGAATAATGCGGAATATAAGAAAAAAGGGTACTTAATGTCAAATTCCAGCTGATTTGAATTGAAATTGAGGTTGAAATCTTCAATATATCTAAATGAATATATATATTAAGCATTTTTTTAAAGCGGTATACACCCAGAATGAACTTTACATGCCAATTTCTAAACTATTCAGTGAAAAACTGTGGCTAAAACTATCTAAATTCCGGTCATCGGGAGATCCTAGAAAGTGGACCAATTTTATCAGAGGTAGAAAGCCATAATAATTCTATTAATTTTTTCAGAGGTACTCATTAAAACTCTCAAAATAAGATTTGAAATAGTATTGGTGAAAAATATACAAAACAAGTTAAAAAATATCAGTCGGTTTTGCCGACAGATGTATACCTTCAGGCAATGTTCGATTATTTAAATATATTTCGACTTTTGCTATTTTCATTCGAATTGTTGACCCTCAATGGAGTAGGTTCCGAAGGAATGGGCCAATATTGTCCATTTCCTATCGGTCCTAAATAAATATGATATAAATATTCCGACGTGCCGGGTTTGGATTAAACTCCTTTCTTCCTTCACTTTATATGAGATATGTGATCATTTTTAGAAAATGTAAGTACCAGATACCAGTCGACCGAAGTATTCAATTTTCATACTTCATCTAACTCAGATAAAAATATTGGTATCGGCAAATTTACAAAAAAATCGAATTTTATGCGAAATCATAAATTTCATAATCATCTCAGGTCTCAGAAGAAATATTCCAATCTCTTCCATCTTTTTAACAGATCTTGTGTTGATGGAAATATTGAGATGTGCCAAGTCTGAATAGAATCGGATGTTAATTTCGCGTTTTATGAGCTTCATGGACATTCAAAATGTTAACCCTTCATGGGCAGATACCAGAAGGAGTGGACCGGTAGTAGAAATAATGGGATGTGTGAAATATGAAGACAATCGGACTCTTACATCAAATTTTAAGAGAATTGTAATTATTCAAAATTTTGACCATTTGTGGGGGTGGTACTTGATGGAGTGAACCGATATTGTTCATTTTCGCACCTGATTAGGATTCGAAAAGTTCGAAAAGTTAGTGAAAAATCGGATTAACCTTTCTATTTCTGTGCAGTAAACTATTTTTTTTTAAATATCGATCTTTTGTGGTGGAGGAACCAGAAGGAATAGACCGATATTACCCATCTTTGAAATCGATCTAAGTTTTACAATAATATAACGATGTACCAAGTTTGGACCAAATCGGATACTAGAGACTTATCGTGCCCACCAGCCAGACAGACAGATAAACGGACATCGCTAGATCGACACTAAATGTCCTGAAACGGATTTGGTCCGAAGAGACCTAGGGTCTAAAACCGCTATTTCGAAGAGTCACGCTTTGGCCGTATCAAATTATATATACCCTCTCTAGCCATATATGAAAACGTGACTCTTTCAAACAATTAACTGCCAGAGAAGGTGGTTCCTATTACGAACTCCAAACACCATGTTTAGAATAGTTCTGCTAAAAATGTAGCTAAAATCATGAAAATATAGGGGCTACATGAATACATGAGTTTGTATAGACAATTTTCTATCATGGGAAGCATTCTGTGATACACATCATTAAAATACCGAATATCTAGAGGTACAGTTACATGGGATCTATACCAAAACTTGGAGCTATATGTACAATTCTCTGCAAGGAAATTCCCTGCATACCTGGAACACATACTCCTAATTAAATATTTTCAAGTCCTGCAGGACTGAAACATATTTGAGTATAATTTTATTAACCCACTTTATTTCGTTTCATTTATGGCTTTCAAACGACCAATGAAACCGTCACACGCTGCCCGAATGTTGCTCTGCGTTTTTTTTTGGCTCATTCCCGGCGAAGCGCTTGCTTGAGGTGATCGACACTTTGGCATTTTTTAGTGCCAACCTTGCTTTCCAAAATACTCCAGACACAATAGTCCAACGGATTGGTATCCGGAAAATTTTGTGGCCATTGTGCGCTGGAAATGAAGCGAGGAACTTCATTTTGTAACCATTCTTGGGTGGCGCGTGCAGAGTGCGATGGTGCTGAGTGCTGTTGGAATGTGCAAGGTCTGTGTCCAAAATGTTTGCATGCCCAAGGCTTTAATATATCCTCCAGAATATTTTCGCTATAATGTTCGGCATTTATTTTGATGCCACGGTCGATTAATACGAGCGGAGAGCGATCATCGGCTGTTATGGCGGCCCACACCATCATCATGGCCGGCGTTTGAGTTCTGGTGGCCAAGCGAAGGTGTACATTTTCAGCTGACCTCTTTGACAAGTAAACACGATAATTTTGTTTGTTTACAAACTGCTGGACAATGAATGTTTTCTCATCGGAGAAAACCAAATTCGGCAGTTCACCACTTTCGGCCAAGCGAGGCAACTCTTTAGCTTTTTTGATTCTATTTTCTTTCTGTTGCGGTGTAAGTTCTTGCACTTTTTGGAATTTCAATGGCTTTAACCTGAGCTCATTTTTTAATATTTGCCGAATGGAATATTACGATATGTTCAGCTCACGAGCCTTTTTTCGGTCACTGCGACGCGGGTTTCGATCAAGTCGCTTCTTTACTTTTCGAACCATTTCTGCTGATGTTGCTGTTTTCTTGCGTCCACTTCCTTGACGTACACTTCCAGGATCACGGTAACGAGCGATGGTACGAGACATAAACGATTTATTCACATTTAAATGCTGGAGTGCTCTAACGATAGCCACTTGTGGTTTTCCAGCCAAATATCAAGAAATCACACCATTACGCTTGAATTCCATCACGAATAACTTTTTTCCTCGAAAATTCTCACCAAAATGCTTTTCTACGCTCGTACACAATATAGTGAGCTGTCACTGGAATAATTCTAACAGCTGTCGAAGAAGTGGCTTAGAAATGACAGCAGTCTGAAGTTGGTTGCAGTTTTTCCATCTCATCCTGTAAGTAAATCCCAGCCAGCCTTAGCTGCATTTTTAGTTTTTGAGTTTTGCTTTGTTAAGACGAAGATCATACGTTTGGGATTTATTTGTTTATTTCTCTTTCGAGACAATCCTAATGATGTGAAATTAGCAGTGAGTAAGAGCATAGACAAATAAAGGTATAGACAAAAAAGTTGTCTCATCTGTTATCTCCGAAAAAAGTGCTTCAATAGATGTCGTTCATGCTGTTCTCTCACTCAATTCTCTCAGAATACAAAATATTGAATATTTTTATTATTCTTTATTGTTTATCAATTAAAAACGAAACAGTGACTTTGTGTACTTTTTCATTATTCAAATATGCCGCGAAATATAAAAATATAGAACTTAAATAGCAGAAAAATGAATAAATTTTTTTCGAAGTCGTGAGACTTCACTAGCCCTGAGGGACTTTACAGGCCCAAGATCAACCATAGTGACATCTGCCGGAAGGGGTAAATTTTAAAACTTTTTAGTCTATACCTTTATATGTCTATGGTAGGAGTCTTGTAAGCCATTATCCACACCAAATGTGCCTGAAGAGACGTTGAACCAAGAGCGAAACACGTCGTATGGTGATGAGTGTGTGATAGTGTCTCTCTGTTTTTTTCTGCAAATTTGAGATCATTAACCTCATCTCGAAAGAGAAATAAACAACTAAATGGTCTTTGCCTTAACAAGAAGCAACTCAAACATTTGTATTTTTTGGCATGTGAAAAGAGCATCGTGGTCGGCTAACTAAATTCAATACTCAGTGAGAGCATATCTTACCCTATACCTTTATTTGTATATGGTCCTGGCTATCTTAGCATAAATATCAATTCAAATTATGAGAAAGAGCAAACAAAGATCAGGTCTTCCAAGACAAATTTTTCCACATATCACGAAATTCCCCTAATTGTTTTGTTCTAGCCTTCATTTTATCTTTTTGGCAATTAATATCAAATTTTATTATTTGTTCTGACCTACCCTTCGCAAAATGTTTTGCTTTGTTTTTTATGGATTTCCAGCAGACATTTATTTCGTCA